TTCTAATGAAACACATAAGAAGAAAATGCATATCTCCTGTTTCCTTCTTTTCCATTTGTTCCCAGACCCAACCATATACACATTTTATGCCTTGCAAGTACATTAGTCTGCTCTCTGAGAAATCTGTTAATCTGACTCAAATAATACAATTGAGGAGAAGTATAGTTCACACAATCATTCTTTGCTTACTTCCAGTACAGTAAAGTTCTGAAGTTCAAAACACAAGAAAGTCCTGACTGGCATCATCTGATCTACTGAAACCTTTCTCCTTTAAACTCCTACCAATACATACCAAAGATCATTCACAGTTAAATAACATATACTAAATCAATAAAGCAACATTCATCTAAAAATAACAAACTAACCCGAAATGCAATTTAACCCAATGACAATGTGAGTTTACTTTATTAATTGTTTTTACACATAGATGGCTACACGTGTACTAAGTCACCAATGAGCCAATTACAAGTACTGCCTATCTCGTTTACCCTTTTCTTTGATTTACGGAAATATTTTATGTTGTCTTATTTTGCTACTATTAATGTTTATAATATTATAGTAATTATAATATCTATAATATATATAACACCATCAATATTCACAGAATAAGTAAAAAATACATTTTTCCGGCCAATTCAAGGAAAGGTGAAATTAGGTAAGGTCACAAGGTCTACTAAATGACTCCATTATGGTTAAGCACTAGCAGAGCCATCTATGTGCAAAGACATTGCACAAAAAGAAATTAAATGATCACGGCATTTTCCCCAGCAGCATCTGAAGACAGTCCTCTCACCTCCCTGAGACCTGAATCTTTGCGCCAAGCTCTGCTCTTTTGCAGTAGGTTTGCTGAGTAATTCCATGATCTCTTCTCCCACTTTCTTTGTTTCCCGTTCTCTTATACTCTGCGCTGACAACAAACTCTGTGAAAGAAGTACATAAATTAAAGTTAACGGTAAAGATTACTGAAATTTCTTATTGCAAAATAATCATTTGCATATGCTTTCCACCATTAAAAAGCATTCCTTAGAATTTCTTCTCTTGAAAAGATTAAAGCAGATATACCACTGGAGACCCTGGCTGAATAACAGTTCAGTAAGTTATCTTTATCATCATTACAATTGATTCTCTGATGTACTTAGATATTTTTGCATGGAACTTTTTTGCTTTACTGCAGGTTTACTGGACCATGTGTCTTTTCACTGGTATAGCCTATCTACCTTACTGTGCCACATGAAGCCAGGCTTATAGCAAAAGCAGTACATCACTTTCCATCACTCATTTACATACCATAACATCATCTTCTCTCCTGTCTTTTCTCTTCTCTTTGTCCACTTTTGTCTCCTTCTCTTCACGAAGAATCTTTGCAGGAGGCTCTGAGATAGTATCATCAGATTTCTCTGGAGAATGGTTTTCATCTGCATTGCACGTGTAGTAAAAGCAAAAATTGATCAACAAAATCAGAAATATAGATAAAATCAATTAGGATATACAGATAAAAACAATTAAGAAATATTTCAATTTTTCTAGTACATGGTATAACTCACACAGAATATAAGGAATACATTCCTGCATTTTATTGACTAAACTTTCATACAGTAGGATGCTTTAGAAATTATGAATGATTTTACCATATAAGCCTATTGATTCAGGAGGACATGTATGTACATCTCCAGTCCACTGCAATTTACTAATTTTACTAATTTTGTTTACATACAGATGGTTCCACAAGTTCTTAATCCCCACAAATGAATTACTAACTATATTTGACCTTAAATGATCGTATATCTTGATTTTTAGAAGAAAAAAAAATTATATTACAATTATCATTGCGAATAACATGTACAATAATCATAATATCTACAACAATAATAATAGTCATGATAGTACAAGTAGTCTATAAAAAGTAAAAATAAATTCAAGGAATGCAATAATCAGGTGACCTACTTACTGCCTCCTTGGTAACAGTGCATGTCCCAAGTGCCAACTGGTTAAAACAGGGCTCAATTTAAATGCGGAATCCATCCCTTATCATCCTCTTGCAATATCAAATCACAAACCTTCAACAGCAACTGCAGTGGGCTGAACTTTCTTCTCTCGGTGTTCTGCATCTAGAACAGCCGTTACTTTGCTGTGCTCAACAGCTACTACTGTCAACGAAGTCCTCCCTTCACTGGTACCCTGAGTAATGCTGGAATGATGTGAGAGTAATGAGCATCTTCCATTAAGAATAAGGAGAGACCTCAAAAGAAATTCTCAAAAACAATCATTGACTGCCATCACTGTTAATGGTGTCTCAATTGTTATTATTATTGGCGTTAATATCATGAACACTATTAATGATTAATAACACAATAGACTTTCTCTAACATCCTTAATCATAAAAACAATATTAAACATCTAACTATAAAAGAAATCCAATTAGAGTACAACCAAGCAATTACCAATATCGTAATTGTGAAAACAACACACAGCCTCTAATAGGTACCGCATTACTTACCATTCAGATGGTCCACTGATAACCATGAACATTTATGTCTGTCACATTACAAAAGCTTAAACATCTTCAGTTTAGGTCACAGTTATGAGCTAACAGTGGTGTGTGACTTAAATCTTTTCTTTTTCATTTTGCACTTTTTTCACAGTGCTTATTTTAAAAGGTGTGAAACAATATGAAACTTGACACACTGACACACACACACCTATAACATTTGATCATAAATAAAATCAACACCCAAATACTAAATGAACTATTTGTCAAAATTTTTTTACTAGTATCATTGACAACCTGATGTTTGCAAATCTAAAAGCAAAACTAACACAACCAACATTAAATCCAATAATATCACTTCAACATTACACTTTACCTAATTAGTTCTTTATATGCAAACTTCTCCAACAAGTTATTAATTGCTTTTGAAGGCAGTGTTCTTCTTAGTTTAGCGGAGAGTGTTTCTGACAACTGTATCGACTGAACTGGTGGTAAGGCCTCATTCAGACACTCTAACAAGGCACATTCGAGACTAGAGTCATCTTGGCTACTGCTTGTGGTTGGCACTGAAATTAAAGAAAGATATATCCATTATACTCACATTAAACAGAGATAATAATACAATAATTCCTACAATCATTACACAATACACCCTTACATATTCCCAATCTAACCACCTAGATGGGGGTTCAACTACTGGATCCCCAAGATAGTGAATCCTCCAAGGATGAGTGATACAGTTTTGCTGCAGCAAAGAGACACTGAAACTTTTTTTTTTTTAAGTATAAATTACAAAACAATTTCTTTACTTCTACATAAAATTTGTTCTCTGAAACCCACATACCATTGTACAGATACAGCAAAATTTTCTTTGATTCCATTATCTTTATGAATTGTTTGCTATCTAATTCCTTGTCATCTATTACATACCTGGTGGGTTTGGATATAACACTATGATACATACTAATGTCTATTTATTCTACATAGCTTTTATGCACCCAACACAAAGCTGTTGGGTACAAAAACTCTAATGATACAGGTACATAACTGTAGAGAAGAATTTACACTTGCATCAGAATCACAAGAAGTAGCTGCTTCAACTAAAGTGTTTCTCCTCAAAATTACAAGTATGTATGCAACATGTAATACACATGTGTTTTCACTGGTCCAGTGCATCTCCAGTAGGTGATGTCTTTTTTTAAAGTCAGAGAGATTTTTGCATTTCCTGCCCTCCAAGATTATGATTACAATATTACCACATCCTCATTTCACTATATTCCCCTACCAGGGACTCAGCTCCTTTTCCAATGCTCCCGAGCCAAATTCATACAAATTGAGTCCAAAACGAGGAAACAGCATGAGGATTTCAGCTGAAGCCAGGGTGGTGGGAATGACTCACAAAGCTTTTGGAGGGTGATTAGAATCATTTGGCATTTGAAAGGGATTTCTGCATTATTTCCATCAATAAAGAAGAGTGGAACATACTATCCATGAGCTATGACTGGAAGAGCACCAACTCCTGGGAGGACACTATTTCTATGCTCAGAATAATATTCCTGGCTGCAGTGACTGGAAGCACAGGTTGAATTACAGAAAAATGAATATTACATAATTTTTTTTTTAATGAAACAAATTATAAAATATTATTTATTCTTCTTATTATTGCACTGAGTTAACCCAATGGTGACAGGTGAAGAAAACAAAAAAAAAAAACTCTACACTCTGGCAAACAATGGCAGCGCACCGACTTTGAGCGCGTGAGTTCGGTACATCAGCCCGAATCACTGGCTCGCCGCGTACAGCCACACGCCAGCTTTCGAGTGATTTGTTTTCACGCCTATCGGCGTCACCCGTCGGGAAGGGGTTAAGGACTACCTATTGATATGATACGGAGTCTGTGCACAAAAAACAGTCTATTACCATCTGCTTAAAGCAAATAAAATGATAAATGTAGACACTGAAGTAATTCTTTACAGTCCAGATCCACTCGCCTGAGATTAAGTTCCCAACTCTATGTCACAAAATATATTCAATAATCTAAGTTGACATGACAGGGGATGCCCAAGGGGACACTGTCTTCATTTTGGCATGCATGACAAGATAGAACTGAAACCTTATTTCTTGTACCAACAACTGCATCACTTAGTTCTATAAATAAATATCATCTTCAATCTGCCCTTGCTTAGTATGTACATAGTGTAAAAATTAACTGGAATTAGAAAATGGCAAAAAAGCTTTGAAAATTTATACAGAACAAGAGAAAATATCATTGCAAATGGGAGGCATAGACTCTTGTCACAGTACATGAATGTTTGCGTGGGCTTGGCCTATAAGCCGTGCACCTGTCAGAGTGGCTACTCAAGTAATCCTAATTCCCGTATTTTGGGCCACATGATGGCAGTTTAGCAAGGGCTAATACAGTCTGCACCATATGTTTATAGAGAAGAAATTCTTAGATTCATGTGTTCTATCAATATCCTGCATAGTTATTCAGATAGGTGTACCCAGTGTA